CATTCACACGCGCATGTAGTACCTAACATGATCACCTCCATCACAGTACCAATGATTTAGATGCCACATTCATAAATTGTGGTATAGCCATGATTGTTGGTTTCCATGAGATTTGCGGGAGGGCCGAAGCCTTTATAAGGGCCTAAGAAAGAAGAATTTGAAAGGGAACAACATTTAGATATACAACTGAATAAATATTAAATAGTAAATAATAAAGGATAATGGGATTTGATTTGTTGAACCAGATCTCTTGAATGTATTCAATCCTTCGGGTATGAAATCAATCCTTAATCTAGCCACAAATTTTAGACTTTTGTTTTAATAAATCCTTGAGTAGAGACCAAATTGTTTATAAACAAAACACGAACACACACAAAGTAAGAGTTTCTAGTCAGTAATTTATATTATTCACCGTATTTTCTTTGATGAATCTCTCAGGTCAATAAACATATCCGCAAAACTATCTATGAAATTGTACAAAATTCTTATTAACTTAAAATGAACGTTTACATTCACACTTACTTCATTATAAAATTTTTTTTACAGACAAATAGACATGCTTAAACTGGAAAAAAAAATCTATAGATTATGGATTCTCTCAGCGAACACATACGTACATTGTTTCATTTGTTCTCTTACGATTGTAACTTGCGAGTCCTGATACTTGTGGTAACCTGAGAAGACAGCATCAAAAGAAAACTCTTTCAGCCTTGAATTACAGAAATCACCAAGGAAAATGAATTTAGAAAAAGCACCATAGGAATCACCATGAACTTCTACAATGTCGATATGTCACGTCAACTCACACATAAAATGATATTCTTTAAAATTGTGCCTTTTCTCCGTTTGTCATATATGAATCGAAGAAATATAAAATCAATTTGGACCAAAGGACAGAGAGGGAAAGAGATATGGTCAAGTGGATCTTACCATGAGTTTCTCCATTTTGATCTAACATTTTGAAATTTTGTTTGGTGAGGTAGATTTATACGCCATAGAAGGAGCCGCATGAGTCTCTTTGTCCTTTTTGATATGCTTCTGCGGTTGATCTTGCAAGATTTAGAGTCTTTTTGGTGATGTTTGTTTTGGCTAACCTCGTTCCCTAGTTGTGGTTTCTATAGTTTTTATTCTCGAGGATATGATCCCATTAGTTTTAAAATCTTGGTTGTGCTTTAGCATTGTCTATATTTCCTTTTCGCAGGGCTTAGACTCTAAGAATCTTGTAGTCCGTCAACTTAGAGTTCAAGGATTTAGAAGTTCGACGGCTTAGCTTCCGAGACATTATTTGTTACCGGCCTTTGTAAGCTTTTGTATGTTCTAATATCAGTTTATTTAAAATTCAAACACAATATCATAACGAATACATGGTTTACATTACATGATTACCCGGTCGCTCATATCGCATCTCATGATTTGAATTAACCATAACCATCTTTGATAAGCCTATACAACTGAGTTATATAGAAATGGAAACAAAACATACATATAATCTCGAAATTTTAATCTCCCTCTTCTCTTTAGAGATTGTTCAAAAGAAAATATGTGAAGCAGAGAGAAGTTGCAATGGCCCAAAACACACTATGAGATGCTCCTTACATAGTTAAGTGCAGTGTGGAACAACTCCGACCTTAGAAACGACCAATGAAACATAGTCAGTGTTTACGATTTGCTGAAACATAACCGAGTTTCATCGAGGCAATAAGATGTTATTCATGATTCAATGGTGGTATATATGTGTGAAGCTTACTTGACTGGAGATCCTGGGCTGTATATAGGATTTTTCACCACGTATTCAACGTATAAACTGTAGATGTACTTTAGGGCTTCACGTAAATCTCCAGTCTTTGGATGAGTTACTAAGATAATCTGCAAAAGAATTAAAAGATGTTTGGGGTTTTAAGTGTTTGACGCCGGACAAAACCAAATCGAAAGCAACTCACTATGATTAGCAATTGTGGTCAAATGACTCCATAATCTAATACTACTAATACTCATGTCTGCAAATAAACTAAAATCTCATCTTGAAAACTCAGAAGACTTTATCTTTTTATATGTTTAGTGCAGTAATGCAACCAAAATGCAGCTTCAACCGTATGATTCTTTCTGTCTCATTAATTACACAAATGTTAACTTTTCAGCTAAACAAAGTTTACAGATGATCCACAATCTAATATGAATGCCAATGACCATTCTTTACAATCTCCTTAACCTTGTTCAAACAATTGAGACATAATAACTCAGCCCAGGATTGTTTCTGTCGTATTGATTACACAAGTGACTAAACCCGATTGTTTCTTTAAGAAAACACCTTACTATTCCAGTTTCTCCTACAAGCCAATATGCTTGACATTTTTCTGAATACACTTGTATTGCACCCTTCAAGCCAACCTATTCCAGATACATATTCATCTCCATGAAGCTAAGCCTCCCAGAAGTGAATAAGCCTCAACACCAATTCGTGAGGAAGACGTGACGTTGAGCATCGGTGATCTAGGCCATGGCTGGTTGAGGAGAAAAGGTAGGTTAAGAGATTTGACTAGTGTGTAGGCAGAACTTGGATCGTCGATTTTAGGTTTCTCCAAGGGGTTTGGTGCTTCTGGAAAACGAAGTGGCAGCAGGGAAGACGAAAGGGATTGGGCTGGAATATGAAATTGGTTGTTTGAGGATCCGTAACGTTCAATGGCACAACTGTGTTTGTCGGTTTAGGGTTCTTCAACGCTTCTGGTTATTCTGGAGAGCGAAGTGTCCGCGGAGACGACATAAGAGATTCGGCCTGCAATTTATATTTGGGCCGGCAATTTTAAGTTAGGCTTTGTTTTAGAAACAATTCAGAGTGTTCAATTTTAAATCGGATGGAAAATTAATGAATTAATTGGTGGATTATGGTGGTGAAAATCTGATTCGTGATTATTTTGGCTGAGAAATTCTTTCTCTTTTATATAAATGAGATTTTTATTTTAATATAATATTTAAATTTAGTAATGAATAAATATATATATGAAATTATCTAATTTTATTAAAGAAAATGCAACATGGAAGATTAAAATGGTGAAAAATAAAACATACATTTTTTACTTAAGAAAACAAAAAGAAGTCAAATGTATTTCATTTAAAAAACTACTATTTACCTATTTTTATTTTTATTATAAATATATTCGCCAAATATATTTAAAAGTCTAAAAATGTAAATATATATTATAAATTTACCATATTATATGTATATATAAGTAATATACGGATCGGAGCGGATATAAAGATTTTTTTAAATAAGTATTGGTGATTTGCTTCACTTTAAAAGGATACTAGATTTTACTATTTACTTCGCTTTGATTCATAACGGATATTTGGATTTTCGGATCAAATCGAAATGAATACCAGATCGAAGCGAATCAAACGGATAATTTGCTCAGCCCTAATTATTGATCTTTGAATTTAGAGAATGTATACTTCCCGAAAGGAAAGAAAAGAAATATATGTTTTGATATATAAATAACTTGTTTTGTTTGGAAAATTAC